TAGAAAATTGACCAATCACAGTTCATTATTCTTCTCATATTCAACTGTGATTGATCAATTTTCTACGACTTAAGACTCTACGATTGTTACGACTTCTATTGTAGACCCCGCATTACTTTTTTACACTATGGGAAATCGCTAATACGGCCTTCTGATTGGTTCATGACTTCTTAAGACTGTACTTAAGACGGTCTTGAATATAAGATCTGACTATGAATACCGCCCTATGATTGTTACGACTTCTATTGTAGACCCCGCATAATATCTCTTTCATAGGAACTTAGCTGATATTTCATTTATCGTATGATCGACTTCTACGAATAGCATCTAATTGTCCACGTCGCTAATTGGCCAATTCAACACAGGACTTTGCGATTGGTTGGTCCAGTACAAAAATTACAAGCCATTGGCTGCGAATAGATATCGTATGTTCAAAAGAGGTATTACCGCTACAAAAATGTTCTTAATTGGAACATATAATAAATCGTCTCGTGTATTAGTAATAAATAGAAAGTCTCGCATTTTTAATCTTTCAAGGTGTTGTAATCACCAATCAATCAGAATCTCTAAACAAAGATAACTAGTCCCTGACCATTTATGTACAGCATTGGTCAAAAGTATAAAGCACCCCTATGAATTAACGTAAACATTTTATATTTAACAAAACAAAAAAATAAAAACATATATTAAAAAATAATATTTATTTTTATGACAATTTTAACATTTGATTATTTTTCTTTGGAATTTTATTACTGTTTCCAAGAAAATGCAATAAATTGAGGATGCTTATACTTATGGCCAAGGCTGTATCTTTTTCTACGGGGAATATCATCTCCTCTCGCTACCCCCTTCCCCCCCTTGAGATTACTTCGATATGACAGAGCTCGCAGATTTTGATTGCTTACGGAAAGCCCGCACGACGGTATCGGGACCTCGGCTACCTCGGGTTCGTTCCGGCTAATTCGTCGCGAACATTGAGCGCGTACACGTCGGCGGGTCACGTTGCTGCCAAACCTGTCCTCTAGGTTCGTCTTACCCTTGTTATCTTATCCACCTGTCCACTCTACGCTACGATCGGTTCGACACGTCGAAGACGTGATATCACGGTGGGATTTGTCCACGTGCGACACGTGGAACGGCGCCAGGAAGCGGCGCCGTTGTTGCAGTGTGACGACGGTTCCACCACGTCCCCCCGCCCCTCTCACTGACGGAGATGCTCTAGCCGAGTGCCGACAAATCCCGGTCAACGTCCGTCGCAGTACGATGGAGTTTACGTCGTTGCTGAAGTCTATGCTAAGTGCTTGCCAGTGTCACGCTCGCGTCATCGTGTCATAAAATGGTAAGATTTCCCCCTTCTCTTCTTCTCCTTGGAAAAATGATCCTCGTCGAGAGAACGGAGATACGAACGGAATTCAATCGTGTTTAGTTTTGACACTCAATCCTGTGTTAAGCGTCGCTGTGATTGCGATCGCTGCATATATTCTTTTGTAAAAGGAGATTGCATTATGAAAATATATATTTTATTTAATTATTCCATATGACTCGTAAACAAGAAAATAAGAAATACGTCGAGGATCTTACCAGTCTATTATATGTCGTTTTGAATTTGATCATTTCATCCTTTAATAGCTATGGCTGCTTTCCTTTTAGGAGATACAGTCGAATAAGTGTCATTTTTATCTTTGTAGAATACCAAGGAAGATAGAACAATGTTTATATCGACTATCACTTAATGGAAAACATTTTAGCTACTAAAACAATAATGTAATTATGTATGCAAATATTGTGATTCTACATAATTATATTGTCATAGATTCTTATATATGTTTTTTATTTACTTGAGTAAAATAAAATTATCTCAGCCTTCAATTTCTTATTTATATGTATACATTTGATGTTACATAACATTATCAAGATAACAATAAGTATCAAATAGTAACATTGTTAAATGCTGTTGTTTGTAATTTTAGGGTACAACCATATCCCAATTGGAAAGAGATATTGGCTCCGATCAGTTTCCACCTAATGAACACTACTTTGGTTTAGTCAATGTAAGTACTGTGTTGCATGAAATTGACTTGGAAAATTTTGAATCTACTGCGTTTATGATAAGAATATATTCTTGCAGTTTGGTAATACCTGTTATAGCAATTCAGTCCTACAAGCTTTATATTTTTGTCGACCGTTTAGAGAAAAGGTCTTGGAATACAAAGCTAGAAATAAGCGAACTAAAGAAACTCTGCTAACATGCCTGGCAGACCTATTTTACAGTATTGCAACCCAAAAGAAAAAAGTAGGCTCTATAGCGCCAAAGAAATTTATCGCCAGATTGAGGAAAGAGAAAGGTAGGTATTTTAAAGAATGTATATTCAGATTTTGCAGTACAGTAACATTGAATGCAGTCCATTTGGCATTAAGAAGCATTTGATTGACCATTCGAAAGAAAGAATTTTACTAATTAATCAATCAAAGAATGCTTCGAAGCGTTTGTAGCATCAAATGAACCATACCATAGTTATAACTTTAATATCTCCTTTCTTTCAGAGGAATTTGATAATTATATGCAACAAGATGCGCACGAGTTTTTGAACTTTCTTATAAATCACATAAATGAAATTATTTTGGGTGAGTATTTGTTTATCACTCTTGGATGGCGCTCACAACACGATATTTACCGTCGTGATTTCACACATCAGCGGAGAGAACTCAGAGCAAGCCGACTGGAGGAAAGTGTGGGGCAGGGGATGCTGCAGGTTCGCCACCAGAGCCTACATGGGTTCACGAGATATTCCAAGGGATACTGACGTCGGAAACACGCTGCCTTAACTGTGAGACTGTCTCTAGCAAAGACGAGGACTTCTTCGATCTGCAAGTTGACGTAGATCAAAATACGTCTATTACACACTGCCTCAGATGTTTCTCCAATACAGAGACCCTGTGTAGTGACAACAAATTTAAATGCGATCACTGCAGCAGTTACCAGGAAGCTCAGGTATTAATAAAACGATATTTGATTTACCATTTATCTTTTGGATAAATCGCATAAATCGTTTATTGAAATATGATCGTTTTTAATTACAGAAACGAATGAGAGTGAAAAAACTACCTATGATACTAGCGTTGCATCTAAAAAGATTTAAATATGTGGAACAATATAATCGCCACATAAAAGTATCTCACAGAGTAGTTTTTCCATTGGAGCTCAGACTTTTCAATACTGTTAGTACTCGTAAATATTGTTCATGAAAACATAATAAACCTCAGATAATATATTTCTTTCTATAAATAATTTTAATTATTTCAATGATAATACTTTCAAAACTTTCAATAAATTATTTCACTGCTTAAATATAATATATAATTATATAATTTGATTGTAGAGTGATGATGCTGTAAATCCAGATCGTTTGTATGATCTGGTGGCAGTTGTGATACATTGTGGAAGTGGGCCTAATCGAGGGCATTACATTTCTATAGTTAAAAGTCATGGATTCTGGTTGCTCTTCGACGATGATATGGTTGATGTAAATATTTCTGCTTTAATGTCTTGCCCCGTATAAATTATGAAATCACATTTAGAAAGAATATTAATAAGTATCTTTATATGTCCTTAGAAAATTGATGCGTCAACTATAGAAGATTTTTATGGACTTACATCAGATATTCAGAAGAGCTCTGAAACTGGTTATATCCTGTTCTACCAATCGCGAGATTGTAGTTAAAGTTTAATATGAATAGCAATTGAAGATAAGCACTCCTATACGCTAATTTCGTATTTTAACAAAGCGCGCGGTACATGTGAATTTTTGAATGTTCTAATGATTTGTCAGATTATTTATGGGAATATGATGGATATATGATGTTTGATAATGTTTTGGCTCGTAGAATATAAAAAGAGAAACGAAAAGTAGTTCCATAATTTATCTAAATTTTTATATAGAATTTTTGGTTTGTATATATAAACCAGCAGTTAAAGAAAATTGGGAAGTATTAGGTGATGCTTTATATTTATTTATGTTTAAAAGCTAGTCCGCCTTTTGAAGAGAATGGATAATTTACTTTATTACAATAACTTAAACGTGTCCATTGATATAAAGAGAAACGTTAGCACGTTCAGATTCTATACAAATGTAAAGATATGACTGAGAATAAAAATATTGTTATGAGACTGTGCATTTCGGTTATTTATCATGTTAGGTGCAGCAACATAAATTTATGGCACAAAATCAAAACCATTTGGCTTTAAAAAAAGTATTATCACTTTGTTCGCACTAATGTTCTTAGAAAAACAATCTTATTCAATTACTCTGACTCTTAAAGTGTGATATATACATTATGTAAGATAAATGTACCAGTTAGTGGAAATGAACCAATTGGACAAAGTGATAAAACATTTCAAATATTAAGCTTTTAATGATATGTATAATTATTTAAATTCATTATTAGCTTTTTATAAACAACAAATCTATTTAGAGTCATATATACCATTAAAAAGTTTAATATTTAAAAATTTATACCACATTGTTCAATGAATTGAATCCATTAACTAATACATTTACCTTAATATTGAGTCCAGTATGCTTGAGGAAAAAGCTAACGATAGCCACTGATTTCAATACATTATGTAATATCATGATTAGTACAATTTAATAAAATTAAAATCTGTAATTGAATAAACGTTAATTCATTTTAATTAATTACATTTATATGTGTATTTAATAATGTTAATTTTTGACAATATTAAATATAACGCAAACCTTTACTTCGAAAATTTTAGTTTATTTAATATTTTAAGCAATAAATTCATATGGAACAGGTGCAAGCAAGATAGGTGCTTCACGTCCTGACACAATGTGAGCTTTAGAGCTGTCTTTTGAGTTGGGCACGAACGTTTGTCTTCTTTGCCTCCATCCTGAGCCTCTCGTTCTCCTTAACGCGCTTAAGGAAATCATCTCTACACTTGGAATGGCTCAAGTGCTCGATGCGCACGTTAATCCTCTTGGCAATGATACGTCCGCGTACTCTCTTGTTCACAATTACTCCCAGGGCATGTGCTGTCACATTGAACACACGGCCAGTCTTGCCGTGATAGACTTTATACGGCATACCTTTTTGTACAGCACCGTTTCCCTTGATATCCACAATATCGCCGACCTTATACGTCTTCATATATGTAGACAAAGGAATAGTTCCATGTTTACGGAACTTGCGGGAGAACAAGTCCCTCGTACCACGTCTGTAACCCTTTGAATTGGTCATCGCAATGTGTTAATCTGTAAAAAAAAAAGAACAAATATGCAATCATTAAAGCAAAATCACAATATACATGAAGGACTCAAGACTTCTTTAAAAAAAATTTATTAATTTTAAATATAAATATGAAATTCAAATTAAATATTGTAAATTCAGGCTGAAACAGAATATTTTTGCTCAATTTGAATATTCTCATATGTCGTTTGCAGATCTTATCCTATATAGGAGTGATTGTATTGACCTACGAATTTGAAGCCAGGAGCTATAAAAACAAGAAAATCACCATAGGGGAATCTAACCTAACTCGAATATTCCTACAATTTTTTGTACGGATCCAATAACAAACATGATTTATGTGATAATTTATGCAATGAAAAATGTGATTTGTCAATGACAAATAATATTATCAGATGAATTTTTACATGCGACGTGTAATATGCAAAATGCACGTGGCTTGACGCGAGTAGAATCAACAGAGTGAAGTCTGAATTTTCGTATTCTCTAACCGAAGTAGAAGCGATCGTATAATAGCAAACAAAAGTGGATATTTATTTTTGATGTACATAAAAGAAGAATATTCTAATTTGGCCTCGATTTTAAAGAATAATCTAAAAATGTTAACAAACGTACATAGACAACTCACGTTCACTGTCGTTGCCACAAAAGAAAAGATATTTTAGAGAGGCGACACGGTGCAATTTATGCAGAATCAACGGGTGCATTGGGTACATTTAGTACTACACCTCTCACTGAGCTTTTGCATCTGATTGGCATATTCCGTTAGAACTAAAAATATAGACCAAACAGATACAAGAGCTTACTGAGCGCTCGCATCTTATTGGTATATTCCGTTAGAACTAAAAATATAGACCAAACAGATACAACCGCTCACTGAGCGCTCAGTGAGCAATCATGGTACTAAATGCACCCAACATTTAAGGGCCGATTGTTCCAACTTCTTGGTAAAGTTTACCTATTAGGTAAATAACAAGATTATCCAATCACGTGCGCGGATTGCCAGATTTACTTAACAAGTAAACTTTACCAAAAGAACAATCGGCCATCAGTGTATTTTAGACGACATAAATGCAAACATTATATACATATATATATATATATATAATTCATTCTATGTGAAAATACTTTGAGTCTAATTTTATTAAGATTGGAGCTGAGGACTAAAATGAATAATTATCTTTATATATATAATTATACATATAATTACATTTAATTATACATTATGTAACACACTATATATGACTATATATTATATTTATTCAATGAAAAAATTAAATATATAAACAATAAATGTCAATACACAGTAAATTTAAAAACAGAAAGGACACACCGCGAATGCAAGATATTCATAGCGATTAGTTTATATTTGATTCCAAAACATAATCGAATTACAAATATTATATAAATAACATATATATAGGACTCAGCGATATTTCACAAATTAAAGACAAAAATACATAGAGAAGTAGGAGTCAGCGCAGTACTTCGTGCGCAAGTATAATAATAAAGTTTCCAAATCTCCTTAATAAGTTTTTAGACTCCTATTTCCCTATGTATTTTTGTCTGTAATATATTCATTCATTCGATGACGCAACATCTCAAACTCTTGGGGCAAGGCCTCTTTTATGGCTCTCATAGGGTTTCTGTAACAATAGATTTTTTTTTTTCCAGAATTATAGGTTGTTAGCCTAATATCCAATCCTCAGCAGCCCCAGCCTGGAAGATCCATACATATAGTCCAGTGATATATGGAACCTACAGTTTAACGCCAGATCTGAACAGCACTGGTGATCAAAGGTCTGTTAATCACCAAGTGGAGCCATTGGGCGCATTCAGCAGACTCAACTGTCGAGTCCGCTGAATGCGCCCATTTGCGGCTCCTTAAACGCGAAAAATTGTATTTAAAGATGCACAATAATAAGATTATATTGCATAAGTTAAATGCCCTATATACAATGAGTACAATGTTCAGTACAATCGGAGTTAGACAACTTTTTGTCCAGTTATGTCGTGATCCTTTTCCATAATCTTCCTTGTTCGCGTCTTGACGGGCTGCAAGGCGTAAGTAATACGTGCAACACTCTGACTCAAGAGCGAAAGTATCATGAATATATTACAGAAAAAAATTTTAATAACACAAAAGAAACAATCATCTTGTAAAATCAAATCGAGAAGTATGTCTAAAGCCGTTACATAAATATATGTAACTTAATTATGTAACATTTACAAACAATATAGGTACGAAAATATATGAAATGTTAAATCAATGCATTAATTAACAGTAATCGCAGAGCCTAGCTGTCGCATTAGTTTGTAGCATTCCTGAAGACGTTTCCTGTCTCCTATTCGCTCGAGCGTCTTGGCAGCCTCCGCGAGCATGCCAGCTCGTTCACCCGGCGAGGCTAACAGCAACGTCGGCAGATGCCTACATGCCAGACATAACGCGACCGCATGCTCCCTCTCACTGTTGTTCTGCTCCTGCGACCGGTCCTTCCCACATATAATTGAAGAACGCGAGTTTCTGTGATGCAGACTTCGATCCAATAAGATCTGAGTCTTAACTGGTGTTGCCCCGGCCATGATACGCGCTGTAGCCTCGTATAGGAATACTCGTGCCAATACAGACTGAAAAAAATAGTAAACATTATGTAAAGAAGTTACACACATGCAATCAAATAAGTGGCTTTTTCAGCTGAATTCCTTCACGATTAACTTTTTCTTTTTTTCTCTCTCTACATTGAACAAAAGAGAAATGAATGACGCAAAAAGTTCAGCTACAAAGAACAAGCGTTTTACTGCTTACTGGGATGTGCTGACACAACTGTCTCAAGCACGCTAAATCACGTTGGAACCCAGCAAGAGACATGCTTACGACTGATCTTTCTGGTTCTGCATCTATTTCTTGCCAAAGAATTGTACGTATCTCGAGAAGCCAATCACAAACCAATAATTGAGTAAGCTGAAAGATAAGCGAGATTAGTAGGAAACAAAAAAGAATCGCACACACGACTCACGTAAAGTAGACACAAAACTATTACATATACATATAAATGGTGCTGCGACCTGCCACAGGAGTTGCACTGCAGGAGTATTGCATAGTTATATTTCATGCAATGCAACTACAATGCACACTTGTAACAGGTAAACGGTAGCACGGTTTACGCTTGAAAGAAGTTACCCTTAGCACATATAAATAAACAAAAAGCGACTATAAGTATACAATGTGTGTGTGTTTCTATTTTATTAAACTTACCAAGACTTGCTGCGAAGATTGCTCCTTGCAATGATAGTACACCATGGATTGCTCAAGCAGTAGTCCCGTCTGATCAATGAAACGCATAGAAACTAACTTTGTAGGATTTTTTGCCACCTGGAGAACACCGAGAACAGCATGGGGTAATGGACTGCTACTGCTGTTGTCGCCAACTTGGAAGTTCCTCTCGTAGGGAAATTTACTCTCCACAATGCTCCATGCCTTTGAATCCTCTTCTCCTAATCTCCAACTCGCGGCAGCGCAGATTACAGCTCCCCACCATAATCCAATCTCATCTTCGCATGCTGCAAAAATAAAGAGAAAAAAAAAATACATTGCGCAATATATTCAGTTGCAAAAAAAAATAGGTCAGTGTAACATTACTGTGGCCCATTTTTTTTACTGAATATAATTACAATAATATAATTAAAACAATAATACAATTAAAAAAACATACATTAGTTAGATATTTTTTTGAAATTTAAAGTGCGATTTTTCTTGCGGTTTCAAATAGTCTTTTCGTACTTGTTACACTGATTTTGTCGGAAAAGGGGAAACAAGCTTCCACTTCTGCAGAAGCCATAATCATCCGTCCTAATTCAAGTACAGAGGATGCATGACATTCTCCAACCGTGCCGGTCAATAAACGTAGACATTGCTCGATCAGATGATTCCTATACGCACGAGCCGCGTATGACAGCGGATCCGCTCGACTGTTCTGTGATGTGAATTCGCTGTCAGACTGTTTCTTGTACTGCCACTTCTGAGATGCCAAGAACTTCGCGCCTTCATCGGTCATGATCCATTTCAATTTCGGGGGAACGGCGCAAGAGGATAGCAAGACGCGTGCTTTACCCAGATAATATTTGTGTATGTACGGAAAGAAGGATTGTTTCAGACACAGCGCGACGTTCATGTAGATCTCCGCCAAAAGTGGCTTTGGCATACTCTCGCCAGCAGTTTCCGCGTAATTGACGGCGCAAAGAGCAAGATATAACGTTGAGTCTTTAGTTCCTTCAGACATACGAAGACAGAGCATATGCTGGTAAACGATGGCAATTTCCACGGCGGATGTCTCCGCCTGTTGCCGTTCTGATTTCTCTGACAACCACTTGCTGATGTGCATGACCCATCTACCAAGCCATAATTTGTGAAGAGTCTGCCGCACTATTTGCCACATGGTTGCGAGAAAAACCTCCGTACGTGATAATGGGAAGGCTCGGCCGAAATACTGTAAGCATTGATGTAAATCTCGATATGCCTGATTGCATTCGTGTTTGGATATGTTGAATTCGGCCTGACGTCTCCAACGACGTATTTCGAGAAAGACTTTGCTGTCGGTAGGCAAAATGGGATCGCCATAAAGTAACAGTTTATAGAGACAAATTGCCAAGAGTATCAGATTGGTAAACCAGAGGACAACATTGCTCCATGGTTGCTTGTCCGATTCTAGCTGATCTACAACTGAAAAGAAAAAAAGCATATTAACAATAAAAAAATGTATCAAAATTGTGATTGGAAAAGAAATATGTAATTTACGTGCGTTTGTTACCTGGATAATTGAGTATCGTTCGTCCGTCCAGTTTCGTATTCACATAATCATAATTGAATCTTCCAATATTGTTCACGAGGATACCCAGAGGATTGAATGCTAAAAATAATAGCATGAATCCGCATAATGTCAGCCGAGTGTGATCTTTCATGCCTCCAATGGACGAAGTTGGTACAGGGTGTAGATTGTGCAACGCATCTGAATCGTCCTTTACAGACGACGGGGATGGTGGTGACGGCGGCGCAGGTGCGGGTGATAGAGACGGTTCGCTCGAATCGGAGCGTGGAGGTGTCAGCTCTCCACACTGGATTTGTTGATACAAATCACGAAGATTGTGCCGTTGCGCAGACATCTTCAACGCCATATTTTCGGCCTTTAATTTCGCACTGTAATTCTGCAGATGCCTATGTTACACAAAACAAGAAATTCAGAAGCTATCCATCTTGTTAATATATCGCGAGGTAAAACTAAATTCTTATCATCCTTGCCTGATGTAGTCGATGGTTTTTCGTAAAATTGCCGACTTGTTCAGCTTGGCATCAATTCCGACTACAATGTTTTTCAGTTCAATTATCTTATCATTGATCGACGTCCTGTAACGACGCTCAATAGCATTGTGGGCACTGCGTTTTACCTCTCTCACTCTCGGTACACTCACATGTGTGCCTGTGTTTAGACGATTAATTTGTACCTTGTCAGTGTCCAATACTACAGGTATCCCTTGAATCAAACAGTATCATATTAATACATGCTATAAAATTACATTTATATTCTTATTTAGCTTGATTATTCGTTAAGATAAAAAGTTGTAGCTTCAAGAATAAATCAAATATAATAAAATGCCTATATCAGCCTCTGTGGTTGTTAAGGCGATAAGATATAATTTGCGAACAATTGAAATATATTTAACAAAGTTAACTATACATACACTGCACTTATAGTTAACTTTGTTCTTATGTACATTCTAATTGTTTAGACATTTTAAATACATTCTGATTGTACAGGCATTTTGCTTATATTTGATAATGATTTATGTTTATATCCATATAGTATAGATATCCATATTGCACAGATCTCAAGAAATGTCCAGAAAAGATCCCCTATGTTGTCAGAACGTTTTCAGGACATTTTTCAAATAGAATATACTATGTGCATATATAAATATGACAATATTGAGAAACCTCTCCAAATTCTTAATTGCATTTATTTACCGGTAGTTAACACCGTTCCATTTGTAGTATTTACAAGAGTGTGTATTTGATGTGGAACAGGAGTCGACGTGATGGTTTGTCCACCCTTTGAATACACGAGAGATTCTGACTTAATTAATTTGGCTGGAAGGAGTAGCTGTCGCTGTTGAGTAACTGGAGCTAGGGTTACAACATTCGGCGACTGTACGTTAAAATTCACATTTTGTGGTATAGTGTACTGCGAGCTGAACACTGTAGGCTTTGTCGAAGCTACTATTCTCTGTGGTCTATTCTGTGGCACGGAGGTAACATCCTGCTGTATATAAGTAACAGGTGTAGTGCCATCCGTTTGTTGTGTCACCATAACATTTGAGTTTGATGGCTCAAGGATTGCTGGATCTTTAAAGTCCTTGAAGTCTTTAAACTCATCGTTATTGATATTTAAGAAGTTAAATGTGTCCCCATCAACTGGCATTGGCTCATCCAATTCGGAAAGTAGAGCCTCATCGCTGAAAAGCTCATTCTTCAGCAACTCATTCTCGCAATTCGTCAGAAGATCTGCAAATCAACAATTATATTTTTTCAATAATAATAAAATACTGACACTAATATTTAATAAAATATTTGACAGTAATATTTGGCATAAAATATCAATTCTAGTCAAATACATTTTGAAATTTCTTCAACTATTTTTAATATAATTATAAAAAATCATGTAAATTAAAATAATTATATGTAGCACACATATGATTTCGTACGTCAGTAGAAATCATTATTAAGACTCGTCAATATAAGATTAACTTCAATCTTGATTCAATTATTTATCTTTTTTTAATTCTTAAAATGTTAATGTCAAATATTCCATTATTATTGATAAATAACAGTAATAATTATTTACTTGCAGATTCTTAAAATTAATAAAAGATAGAGTAAATTGAACCGAGATTAATCTTACATTGGTGGAAGTGGGACCTAAGTAATCAGTGCGATATTTATGTTTATATCGCTTTCTAACAAATGCATAGCGACAATCAAAGTAGATAAAAGACTAAACAAGACTATCTCTGTTAACAGTGATAGGGTGAGTTTTTTAATTCATCGATTGATAAATCGCACAGTGCGCAAATATAATTTCGTTCCATAAAAAAGCATCTGCGCGTGATAAGATTGATCAATCGATGAATTAAAAAAATTCGCCCGTAATACCCGACGATAAAATATCACGTTAGCTTCTCGAAATACGCGCGAATACTACGTTCGTGGAAGAGAGAGAGGGATAGAGAAAGTATGAGAGAGAGAAGGATACACGCGATACACATTGAGAAAAAAAGTGGAGCGCAAGACCTACCATCGATGCCAGTGACTTCATTCAAATTGAAGCTGTCGCTCGATTGAAAATTAGGAAAGTCATTTTCCTGGGCCGGTGCCCAGCCGCCCGGATCTGCCATTGCCGTTGCCGGTCTCAAACGTTCGCGATCACGCTGAATAAACCTCGCGAACCGTCGATTTTACAGAGCGGTCACACGATACGTCAAAACGCAGTAGACAGAAAATTACAAACGATCGTACGACCCTCGTGCGACCAATCCGGGCCGTCGCTGCCGATCGGACGATGTTGCGTCATCGACGCGAGTTCCTAAACCTTGCAGAATAGCTCACGCCTCCGTGGGTCCGTTCGATTTCGAAGAAATCCTTGAAGCTGGTTTGTTCGGGAAGAAGCGATGCCGCCATGTTGGAAATAGTGCTGCGCTACCAACAATCGTGGAGAAAATATTACTAGAACCGCAATCGAGAAATTTCGACCTCAAAGGTTTCTAGTGCAATGGTTTCTAGAAACTACACTTGGCGGGCAAATCACTCCAATTCGGTCCAACAGTCCAACCGTGTTTAACGTTCTCTCCAGTCTGCTCTTCTCCAACCGTTATTTTAATCGAATGACACGTACAAATATTTTCGTTCATTTATTTTAAGAGGCAAGGAGATACGTAGTGTCTTAAAAGGAAGCATAGCATCGAAGCGTGAGATCAACCGTCTTCATAGATACAGTTTCACTCAAAGCATCGCAATCGTTGGCTCCCATAAAAGACGATGCAAAAATGAATCCATCTCGAGATAACTCAACTACGATTGATTCCAGATGCTGTTCAACTTCCCTCATGGGTAAATTTATTATTTTAGTTTCATCTTTTATAAATTGTACCAACGTATTACTTCTATTTGCATAACTTGTATTTATATACTACATGTATATTTTTTATTTATATGCCGATGTCCGCAAAGATCAAGACTAAAGATGAGTCTATAATGTTTTAATCGTGTGAGCGATTTTTTCAAAATTCTAGGAAAAAGAAAGATATACCTATATTTTATTACTTTCTTCCTGTATACTAATTTTAATTAAGTGGCCCGTTTTCTGTTCCTGCACTAAACTGTTCTAGAACTTTCTTTCTCGCTTTCCACAAATATCAAACATATATCCGTCTCACTTTAAGTTTCAAAAGTGTACACTGGTTTAGCTACAGAAAACAAGACCTAAGATTATAGAGTAAGACAATACGTTTTTGTCATTTTCAATGAGAAAATATTTATTCTTTTTGAAAATCCTTTCATTTTTTTATTTTTATCCATTTCTTAAAAGTATATATATCTTTCTGTATCTTTCATATCTTTTTGTAGAATTTTAATAAAATTGCTTTGTTTAAGATCTAGAGTCAAGACCAAATTTATACAGTGTGTTAATGAATAGGTGAAAAAAGTTTATATGAATTTATGTTCAAAAATGCTTTATTAAAAAGTTATAAATGTTCAAATATTTATAAATAGAATGCATTCACTACTATTTTTAATACAGTAGGAATATTCAAATGAGTTTGACAAAATCTATTCTTTCAGAAGGAAGAATTTTTATGGGCCAATTCTAAGCAGAATCTTAAAGACTTGTAACATGTTCTTGTAAGACTTATAAGAACTTATGACTAGTATTTTAATTTTATGCATATATATCATAAGACGTACGATTATTTGTAAATATCTAAAATTTCTTGTAAATTTTATGGCTAGCAAGAAGCTATCTAAAAATATTGTATAAAGATATAAGCTCTTAAAAATTCTTACAAGTCTTACAAGAATATGTTGAGCTTTATGATTCTGCTTAGAATTTAGGGGTTAATTATCAAACTTAAGAAATAGCAATAAATGTATTCTGTATAAGTTTGATTTCCAATCTTTATAGACATCCTTGGATGTGTGTTTATAAATATCATACAACAATATTTGATACTTGATTATTTGGTTTTCTGTTGAGAATTTCAATAAAGGATTTAGCAAAGAAGCATTTGTTTTCAACTTTGTTTTCAACTTTGTTTTCTCTTTTAAAAATATGTCAATGTATTTAATACACCCCAGTGACGCCTGCCTAAAATATTTCGTTTTCTCTTGTAGAAGATACATTAATTGCTCCGAGTGATGTTAAGTTTAATAATGGTCCATTGGAAGAAGTGAAAAAGCCAATAAAATTTATAAGAAATTCCAGCGAAATTGAACTTAAAAAAAAAGAAGAGGAGGAATATAATAATGAAGTAAACGAGCAAAGATACAAACGATTGATGCATTTGTTAAACAAAAGCAAATTTTACTCGTCCTATTTGATAAATAAGATTGAAGATGATAAAGATAAAAATAAAAAAAATGAAAAGGCTCCCAAAAAGAATAATTACAAACAGAAGAGATCTATCACTGAAAATGATGAAAATATATCACCAGAAAACAAAAAGAGGAAAGTTAGTGGAAGAAAACGTAACATACAAGAATACATATCTACAAAGGTAAGTACAAGATTTGGATTCTTGGATAATACACAGACTCGATTTAAAATTGATTAAATGTTTTACAGGTAAGGACCATAAGGGAAAAAAAGAATCTAAACCTAGAAGAGATAGAGACAGAATTATCCACGAACTCAGACAGTGAACTAAAACTCGAACCGGAATTAAAAGCAAATGTTAGCAGCACTGCTATCGTATCGAAATATTTTTGTGGCAATCTGCGCGATTATCAACTAAAGGGTTTAGAATGGTTAAAACTGCTTCATGAAAACGGCCTGAGTGGAATCTTAGCCGATGAAATGGGACTCGGAAAAACAATACAAACGATAGCTTTGATATGTCATCTTATAGAGGAAAGACAAGCCGGGCCTTACTTAATAATTACACCTCTCTCTACTATACCAAATTGGCTCACAGAATTTGAAAGATTCGCTCCCGCCATACCGGTCTTTTTATTTCATGGCACGATAGAAGAAAGAGACGCTGTACGCATAAAAATTAAATGTACACATCATGTCGAAGATAATTACAAGACACAGCCTGTTGTACTCACTACATATGAAGTACCATTATATGAAAGTAAATTCTTTCAATCTCTAAGATGGAAATACATCGTAATAGATGAAGGACATAGAATAAAAAATTATAACTGTAAACTGGTCAAGTATGTAACTATTAAAAACTGATCAGTGATTTTGAGTTATTTTCAAAACTGATTACAAGTTCAGTTAATAGATAATAGATATTTCAATACGCTTATATTTGGTAGACACTTAAAAAATATACCTAATTTAGAAAATGATTTTCTCATTTAATTGAATTTTTGTATTATTTTTTTCTTAACATTAAGTTCTGTATATAACATTTATTTTTTAGGGTGCTGCGCAATATTCGTTCCATGAATAGACTAATATTAACTGGAACTCCACTTCAAAACAATTTATCCGAGTTATGGTCTCTTTTGAATTTCCTATTACCAGAAATCTTTGATGATTTGGATACGTTTGAATCGTGGTTTGACGTTAAAGAACTTCAGTATCATGGTACTGAAAAACTTCTAAAGCAGGAAGAAGAGAAACATGTATTATCATCGTTGCGCGAAATTTTAAAACCATTTATGTTAAGACGAATAAAATCTGAAGTTTGTTTAGAAATTCCTCCTAAGAAAGAGTTGATTGTTTACGCGCCACTCACGGAATTGCAATATGATTTATACAAGGCAGTATTAAATCGTGATTTAGAAATATTAAGTAAAATCGAGACACTGGATCTGATTATACCAACTGTAAATGGTGAAAAACCGAAAAGAAAGTGTTTTTTGAGAAGTCCGTACGGATCTGTCAAGGACAAATCCGAAGATAAAGTATTGAATACTTCAGTACAAGAAAATAATATTGAACAGAAACCTGTGAATAAATCGAAACAATATACTGATGTCACAGAACGTAATAGAGAGTTTCTTGTCCGCATTAATTCTAAAAATAGACGTAAGTGTTGTTGCATTAACGCAATATTTCACATGGTTTTTATGTTTTATGTTATTTCACGTTTATTTATATTTTCTAGTTCCCATGTATAAAAAGATCGTGAATCATCCATACTTGATTCACTGCCCGCTGGATTCGACTGGTTTACCGAAAATTGACAATGATTTAATCAGATCCTCTGGTAAACTTTTAGTATTGGACGCTATGCTGGCAAAACTGAAGATGCGAGGTCACAAAGTTTTATTATTTTCGACAATGACTATGATCTTAGATATGATTGAAGATTATCTTATGTTACGGGATTATAATTATGTGAGATTAGATGGTAACACTAAAATTGAAGTACGAAAACAAAATATTGCTACTTTTAATAACGATCCAGATATGTTCTTGTTCCTTTTATCAATTCGAGCTGGTGGAATTGGATTAAATTTAACGGGTGCTGATACCGTTATTGTATATGACAGTGACTGGGTAAATTAATATCATTGTAATTTTCCACACTTTCCACTTTTGCTGGTATACGTATTTTATTCACACTTGCTTTTCAATGCTTACAGAATCCACAAATGGATATACAAGCTGTAGCTCGATGTCATAGAATAGGGCAAACAAAACCCGTGGTTATCTACAAGCTATGCACTAAAGGAACAGTTGATGAAACAATTATGAAACGAGCTGACGCTAAACGTATTTTAGAAAAAATAGTTATGTCAAAAGAACTACAATCTCTTAATAAAAATATAATATTACAGATGAAAAAGCTAATGGAATCTAAAGAATACAAAATTGTTACATCTGAAAAAGAAGGTAAGTTCTTGCCATCACATTGTCTAAATAATAAAGGTATATAAAGAATTGCTGAAATTAGTAGATCAATCTTTTTTGTAGTTTTTACAGAGATGGAATTGAACAACTTGTTAGATAGAAGTGATATGACTAAGAACGAAGTGATATACTGATATAAGTGATAACTGTGATGTGCCTAATTTGTAAAGCTAAATCAAGAATAAAATACATACCATAAAAGAGGATTTTTCAAAATATCGAATATGGATTCTTAATATGATTAGTGTACAAATATCACAATACTAAAAGAATTATATGTTCAGCTTTATCTTTCGTAACTAATTCATTTAATTTCTTAATAAAGTATATTGAAAAAAAAAATTATTTACCCTATTTCTTATTTAATTATTAATTAATACGTAAGAGTTATGAGTTATGACGAGTGTGTATATATTATATATATATATATATTCCTTTCTTGTATAAAAACACAAAATTTTTCCAATACTTCAGACAAATCTTTAATCGTATCTACATACAAATTAAGATTTATTTGACTTAATACGAGTCTTTCCTGTTGAAGGATTCTTGTATTTACATGACTGGACCAACCGTTCGCGAAACTCAGCTTCTAGTTTTATATATGTTCCACCTATTTCAGATACATATTATTGTTACATTTTTTTTTAAGTGTTATTCACGTGCTTCTATATATATAAATATATATATACAGTGAGGTCCAAGTCTCGAAACGATTAATTATCTCAGAAAGTATTGATTTATTGGAAAAAATTTCGGATAAAGTTATAGAGTTTAAAAAGGTCTATTTATGAATCATGTCAGTTTGACCTTGGATGGCGTCGCCAAAATCATGTTATATCGATTTTTTTTAATAGGACATCCTATTTTTTAATCCAGAATCTAATAACTGATGTCAAGAGTTTCTCAAAACACTACAATAAAGTTCATTTTCATTAACGAGAGAATCACACGAAGTATTAAATTCTGATTTTAATGAAACTTTGTATACATATAAGTTACATAAAAAAATAAATTTAGAAAATGTTAGTTGCGGAAAAACGGTTTAAAGAGGTGAAATCATCCCTTATGTAACGCGGATTTTAACTTTTTTCGTTATATCTTAAAAACTATTCGAGACATCAAAAAATGTTTTATACAAAACTTTTACAATAAAATTATCTCTGTTTATCGACGTCAATAATAATTTTGCATTAAAAATTCATTTTTATGTAAAAATGAAAATAAGAGGAAGAATCTCCAATGGCCTTGATCTTGACAAATATTATCTAGCATGACTTTGAACAACATTTAAGAGATTTTAGTCGTCAGATTAAATTAAGTTCAAATTAATAAATAAGATCAGTAAATATCTTTATCTGAAACATTTTTCCAATAAGCTAATATTTTCTGAGATAATTAGCTAGTTCCAGGACTTTTGGACCTCACTATATATGGCTGCATTTCGATATTCATTACCAGTACTGAAAATTTATAGCGCACGTAACGTGTATTACAGATTTTCGGTATTGGCAATTTTGAATATCGGAACATATATTGTACGAAAAACATACCAACAGGTTGCTTAGTTTTATAGCTGTGTTGTTGCTTATTAAATTTTGAAAACAAGTTCTCTGTGACTGTTCTCTTTGTCAGAAGAGCTGTCATTTGCGCCGCAGCTCTTTCCTCAAAATCTCTCTGATTATCTTGATTGTGTCTTACATTCAAATTCCCACTCCAACATCTACCGTTCCTGAAAGGAACAATAAAATCATATATAAACATTTTGTGTTAAAAAGATACTTACTATTTCAACAACACAATTTGTTACTTGTGACTACTTTGATGCTTTGCTTTAGCCATCGGTTTTAACGTGCATAACGTATTGGATTCTTCACTGTAATAAGATTCGTCATCTACACTGCTGTCCTCGTATACGGTCCCGCCGTCGTCTTCGTCGTCTTCCTCGTCTGTAATCGAAGAAGTAGGAGACGAAATATCGGTGGTTACAGAAATTCGCCGATAAATCTTCTGTAAAGACTTTTGCGAATCCTGCACTTGAAGTAATCGACGAAATCCCGAACCTCCCCAAATCTTTCCTGTTTTTGTAAATTTTTTTCTGCATTGTAAAATTTGATTCTGTATATATAAAAAAGAAAGCATTAAGTTGACAATTTACCAAGCAAACCAAGTTTTGGTCTCTGTGGTACGAGCTCGATTCCATTCCACCACATCGTATCCTTACACACTAATTTGCCTGGACGAAGAGACGGATCGCGTGTTACTAGTCGTGTAATTTTTTCTGGGAAAAAAAGCTGGGGTGCTTCCAAAATTATCACTTCTCTATGTGCTGTCAAAATATTTAACATATTTAATTCTTTCTCGCCTTTTATACCTGGTACATGTTCCTAAAAAAAAAAAAACAATAGAAATCTTTATATAAACTATATTTTTATTATATTTTTATGCATATTATATTCATCATAAAGAGTAAATTCATTTTTATAACGCAATTATAAAGACACACATATTGATACTAACTTTGTATCTACATCCACTTTGATGATTTGATAAAGCTTCAAATCTATAAGCAGATTGACTACAACACGGGTATCTTCCCAATGGGAAGGGCATAGGTCTCTGTTGCTCATTTACGAAGAATTGTGCAGGTTCCGGATGATAGCAGCACCAACCGATCTGATGTATTGGAAAATATATGTTGCACTGCTGACAGAACACAAAATGACAGTCTCCCCACAATCTCCAATACACTTTGCGCCAAGAGCGCAATTCCGATCGTAAGGCAATGACATAATTATTCAATGTCCAAGTCAAATCTCTGCAAAGTTATTTTTTATTTCTTAAATCTTTCATGCATATATTATAATAATATAATATATGTTATTATATGACTTATATATAAAAATATATATGTCGCGTATACCTGATATGTTTGCTATGAACAGTTCCCTTGTTATCAATTTTCATTGCACTTGGAATACAAGGCACAAAATCGGAAATCGATTGTATAACATTCTTGCCGCATTTTCCACATCTAAACATCATAGCCAATGAACTATAGTGTCCTTTTTTATTATCTGGAGTGGTCTCCACTAGAGAAATGATTAACTTACAAAACAAACGACTCTGAATTTTATCTTTTTTATCTTTTAGCATTTCAACATCTTCGTTAGTAAATAATTCAGCCAATCTATGGATAATTGTAAACATCAATAAAACAGAAAAAAAAAGAAATTTTAATTAATCATTTATTACAAATTAGATGTAATATATCATGCAAAATACAATCAAAACTATGACAATAATAAAATGCATGCCTTGTAAGAAGATTATCATCTAAACACGTTAAAATTGTTGATGTTTTTAAGATATCTGACATATTGTCGTGACAATACTGCAGACAATTTTCCAAAAGCGGTTCCATTTGTAAAAAGCAAGCGGATACCATAATCGGAATGACGTTATTCGCCTCTAAAACTGGCCATTCTGATTTCTTTATGATATCCTTTTTCACCCATCTCATCAGCCAATCAAAAATAACTACATCACAATGCACCGATATGTCTATCTCGTCGAGTTTCTGTCCTGCCGTAACATCAGCAAAATAACACATTTTTTGTATAAGAAGCTTTTGTGGACATCGAAAGTTTTTTCTGATATTTTTATCTTCGTCGCAAACATGAATTTCCACTTCATTCCTGTAATACAATATAAAGAAATAACGTCAATTATATTATTAAACATGAACAATTAATCCATTTATTAAAAATATTTTTAACTTTATGTAGCAAGATGTTTGAAAATGTAATTGCAATTAAAAGATACTTACTCCAACGATTTCTTGTATGTCTTATTTTTCTCCTTGTCTCTTTCTTTATGAACTGAGGCTTTATTTTCAATTACATTATTCAAAGAAGAACTTTTCTTAACATCAGCAATAGCAGTGGACTTCTTAATAATAGGTTGCGATATGGCAGATTTTGGCAGCATGTATGGCAAAACAGAATCCAGTAATCCTTCGTGCAAAATATCTCTTAGATTTTCCTTCGTGACTTTCGCCAAACCACATTCATTATCTCCCAAATGTTCCTTAATCTGTAATACTTTTCCCTTTTCATTTTGAATTTGACTACCTGATAACCGATTTATTTCTTTAACACTATCCTCTGTCTCTAGACATTTATTAGAAGAATTTTCCACACTGGTAGATTCCTTTACAGAGCTGTTATTATTACATGTGTTAAAAATATTGCTATTACAAGACGTCACAGAAGACTGTGAACTTATCATGCTTTCTGATGTACATGAATTTGATTCCTTGTTACTCGTTTGTGTTAATAATGATTGTATAAGATCATTATTCTTGTTTTGCTGTTCGTCACTAGGATGGCAGTTATCGTTGGTTGCTTTACTATCCTCGCGCGTTTCTAGGTCTAAATTAATTTTTGCTAATTCATGCCAATCGATCTCGCTGTTAGCACTCAATATCGTAGCCAGACCTTCGCAACTATCATTAACTTGATATGCGGTTCTCATAAATTCGAAAAATGCTCCAATTGTTAATTTAGAGTGCTTATCTTCCTGGAGGTTTCGTAATCTCTCCGCTAAATTCAAAGTTCTCATTATTACTATCATCCATAAATTTTCAAGTCGTGATCATGACACAATTCAACCCATTCTAGTGCAGTTATTGCTCGGCTTATTGCCGAGCTTTTCTATTTGGTACACAGTTATTAATATGATTCAAAAACTTAGCAGCAAAAGTTGTGCTAACGGCATTAGATGGGGATACAGAGAAATCATCAAAATACTTCAAAATAAAGGTGCAGCATCCAGTATCTAACTTCGGTGCGATCTAGCATACCAGTAGGTGTACATATACCTTCGTTACTCGTCGAGGCACATGCTCTTAATATTGTACTTGCGCTTAAAGCGATATTGTCATTTTTTTGTGGCTCCATATTTTTAGGAGATGCAAGTCAATTTTATCCTAGAGGTTACTTGTATATCAACACGAAATTTCATGTCAATATACCTTTGACTACAATTATAATGCAAAAATTATAACGAACATTTTAATACAAGATTAAAGAGTTTAAATAATTATGAAATATTGTGTACTCAGTGTTACAAATCATTAAGAACGCTTTCACTCTCTCTTCATATTCCAATAAGTCTGGACAAGTCTCCGTATTT